GCCTTTTCGGCCGGCCTGAACAAGTCAACTGGAGAGCAAATCAGTATGCACGTTCACAATTATCAAATGATACATTAGTTTTATAGCAAGGCATTATGAAAGTTTTAAACGCCATAATAAGTCTTGAGATTAGATAGATCTATCCCTTGGTATTTGTGTTGGTGAATTTCAAGTAATCCTCATAATCAATAGGCTTATAGAGACGAGGATGTTCATCATCTACTATCTCCTCCAGCCGCGAGCCGATCTTTCTTTCCGGTCATAACCACACGGTGAAGCGGAGGAAACACCCCGCGTTCAACAGTACCTACAAAACCCATATTTTTATATGTTGACTTGACCACATATTTAAGGATTGTAAATGATGAAACTTGAGGCTCAAGGAAACTTGATTTTACATGAAGAGAAGCTCCAGCTATAATACGGAAAGAAGAATCTTGTGATGGGTTAGCTTTGATCCACTCTTCACCATCTTTGGTTTTGATTTCCAAGCCATCTACTACATCGTTCTGGGAAAGAATGGTAAGGAACTGTCTATCTCCAAGCCATCTACTACGTCGTTTTGGCAAAGCATGGTAAGGAAATGTCTATCGATATGAGTGTCAAGTCCTAGCTTCTCTTCTACATTATCATATGCAAGTCCTTTGTGTTTAAGTAAATGAAAGCGGTTCGCTGAGTTAAGATGCTCCTCAATGTATATCTCGAGCCCGAAACTCTCCATGATCATTGTCCTCACCTTCACGTCTAGTTCTATTAACTTCTCCGCGAATGACTGAACATTCTCGCTGACTATATATCTCAAATCTTAGTATTTTATAATCTGTACTTCTGGTCTAAATATAATTAAACCTCCGAACAAATTTTTTTTCTTTTTTTTGAAACTTCCTCATCTTTTCAATTTTTGTAAATCTTCATGTGAAGAAATGTTAAAATTCTGAATCTCTGATAATAAGCTTTTTGATTAGTGACATGAACAAAACTATATAAGAAGAGAACCTGAAGGTTATGTTGCCTTGAGGCCAACGCTTGTGAGTCAAATCATGGACAACCTCAGGATCATCTACACCGTCCCATGCCTTCGAATAAAGGCATAGTCGGAATTTGACCGGCGTAACCATAGTTACGTTGCTCTGACTTTGCACTCAGTTTGGTCTCCAATGGTAAATCGAAAACTTCCTCAGAGGCCTCGAACAATGCCTTCCTTCTCTTTTGAAGCTCCATCGAACAACGCCTCGAAACATCCGTACTCTTCTAGGGCTTTTCGGACACGGGCTCTAACCGAGCCCCACTCGGGAGTTTCTGGTTTCAGGTTTGGAATCGAGAAATCGATGACGGGAAGCGAAAGTTGAAATTGAGTCCTTGAACTTATCTTCATTATTTACTGTATAGTTTATGTTCTGTGAAGACTTTGAAGACTCGTTTGGTTTATATAGGAGGAGAAAGTCGAAGTGTTCACATGAGCATGGTCTTAAACAATACTATTATAGGTTTGGAGTCTTATTGTTGGTTTGTTCAAGTTCTTACTCAAGCCACTTTCTTAAATTTTGTAATAATAATAGACTCTACGCGAGGTTGCGTTAGAAAATGAGCAAAAAAATGTGTATGTCAGCAAGCTTAATTAATATATGGGTTATAAAAACTGTTAAGTTATTGCGTTAGAAATGAGAGAAATCCATTTGCATGCAAATTGTTAACACAATATTAAAAAAAATAAGTTAAATTGACTATTCCTTCAAATTCTTTTAGATTTTGTGGTGAATTTATTTGTGGTGAATTTATTAAAAAAAATGAGATCTACCATTTGTGGTGAATTTATTTTTCTTTAAATTTTAGGGGATCCCATTAAATTAGTGGAAAATAAACCTAATATATCCTTTTAAAATTGTTACTCTTCCAAAAGGTAGAAGAACACGATGGAAAAAACAAACTAATCTCACTCTATTTTTTCTATTATTTATTTTTCATCATCTTCCTCCAACTACTACCCTTTGCACCCTAAGTTAATATATTAGTGATAAGAAAATATTAGTCAGAGACATACTGCGAAATAACCACAATATATTATCAGAATAAAAACGACACACTCACCCTTAGAACGTGAGAAATGTGAAAGTTCTGAGGATTCTCGTTATTGAACTTCTGGAAAAGTGGATCTGGTTGTTAGTCTATATCGGTTTCAGATCTTGTAATACTCTTACAATTTGAAAATGAGTAGAAAGTTTGTGTTGTCAACATTAGTATTGCTTTCATTATTTTTTGGCTTACAACAAGTTTTATACAAAAATCTGCCATTAATCATATCACATAGTTTTTATAACAAATTATTATACCTACTGCAATTTAAAATTAATACTACATTTTAACAATGAAGACGATAGGCTTCAATCAGTTTTGTGATAAGATATATTTTGAAAGTTTAGTCAATACACATAGACATCTTAAAATATAACAACCACACAGACA